GCAAAAGGGAATAAAACCACACTGCTGGTGGTGATCAGCTCCGACCTTCCCACACTGACCTGGCTACCATCTCTGGGAAGCTTTGGGGCACCCTTGGCTCTTCTAAACTCGGCCTCATGTTGGGGTTTCTTGACTGCAGAGTACAGGGGCTCCTCCCTTGCTTCCCTCTCCTGGGAGGAGGGGCTGTGCTGTTCCTGCATCCTTTCCTTGCCTGGCCCTGTGGTTGGTGCCCCAGGAGGGTGGTGAGGTGACAGCAGGGCACTGCCTCTGCTCAAACGTCTCTCTTGGTCTGAGTCAGGCCTGTCTCTGCTCATCCTGTCCCTCTCTTGCTCTTGTTTCACTAACGGTGCATGTGCTGCCTCACCTACGTGGGGAAGTTCCTGCCCAAGGGCTGAGACTCCCTCATGCCTAATGCCACATCTCTCTCCCCATCAAACCCCAGCCTCTCTTGACTGTCCATTAGCCAGGGAGCTCTCTGGGCAGGAGGGATGTAGGCACTTGTGAGAAGGGGTTAAATCCAGCAGGTAAATCCAGGCTGGACCCTGGCTGATAGGAGGAATAGCTATTGTGTCTTTCCTTGGCTGCTCTTTGTTCTGCCCACAATAGTCACTGTTTCCTGCCCTCTGTCCTCTCCAAGACACTGAAAAGGGCACCCCCTTCTCCTTCCTGCTTCTCTCTGCACAGGGAGGACAGATCCCTATTTCCTTCTAAATCTGCTCCTTGGGTTGCACAATCCAGATTGGACAAACTCCTGTTAGAGGAGAATTAACAGTTTTCCCTGCCTTGCTTTGGGGAGAGTTTCCAGCTGTCTCAGTATCCTTAGGATGCTGGAGTGCAGGCTGAGGAAACTTTGCACTTGAAAGCGAAGAGAGGGGGGGAGGAAAATGGCCATTAGGCAGAAATCCTGGACAGGAGTGAGTCCAAACCCACTGCTTTCCAATGCTGAGTTGCATGATTTGCAGTGTCAGAGTTGCTTAAGAAACATCCCTGTATCCCTGAGGAACCCCCGAAGGCAGCAGGGGCAGCAGGGCGGCTCGGCACACGCCGTGGTGCCCGAGGGGTCCAGGCTGGGCAGCCATCCCACCAGCGTGGGATCTGCTGGCTTCCTCCAGCTCAGCGGGGTAATTGCAGTCTTTGAAAAATTCCTGCTCTCAGGGCAGAGGGAATAGGTTTGCCTTCCGGAGAACATACTTCTCTGAAGGCGGCTCCCAAATTTATCTAGCACCTTGGCCAGGGTTCCTTTGGAAGAGTGCTGGTGTGTGTGTGTGTCCCTCTTGGGCTCCCACCCGAGCAGTTGGGACCACGGGGGCAGCTCCTCCCAAGGCAGCTCCACTGTGCAGTCAGTTCCTCTCAGCGCTGTGTGCCAGAACCTGCTGAGCACTGCTAAACTCAGCTCATGTGTCAGAGTCCCTACCTAGGCAGCCCGTGTGTTTTTTAGGGGTGGGGGCCCCTTAATTGCCTGCTCCAAACGATGCTGCTGTCCTTGTCCATAAAAGCCCTGGAGCCGGCGTGTGTGGAGTGCCAGGCGGGAGGGTGGGGGACCCCTCACCGCACAATGAGCTCATTGTTTGTCAGGAGGTTATTAAAAAATTATACCATTTAAAATTACAGTGGAGGATTCTTCCTTTTGCCAAAAGGAGCAGGGGGAGGAAGAGCCTGCGGCCTTGCAAGCCCCTTCCCTGCCTCTGCAGGTCCCAGCCCTGGGACATCCTATGCCAGCACAGACCACCCCCCCACACACCCACCCATCCTGGGGAAAGCCACTGTCACGCAGCAGTGGGGGTGCTGCCATCACAGGGACACAGCCATCATGCTGCTTCCAACCTGTTGAAGCAGGGTGAGGATTTTCCTTCTTAACCCCCGTGGGCTGGAGGCAAAACATCTGCTGTGGGGCACAAAGCTGGGCAGGGATCTGCTCTGGCAATATCCTCACCTCCCCATGCAGCCCCCTGCCCAGCTGGAGGCTGAGTTGTTGTCCCTGCCATCCACACTCCCCCCACTCCACCCTGGCACCCAAGTAGGGTGGCTGCCTCCCTCTTGTCCTTGGGGTGGAAGGAAGTGCAGCCCCCTTGAGTGCTGTGTGGGTGTGTGTTAGGGTGCTCTATCCTTTCCTCCAGCATGAGGAAGTGAGACATGGCACAGTGGCAAGATCTAGGGCCACAGGGATACCTGTCTGGCCGAAGTTCCCATTATTGGTCGGTGCTGGTGGGGATGGCAGCAGGCACTGGGTCTGTGGGGTGTGTGTCACACTGGGAAGTTGGCTGGACCAGGAGCAGGATGACCCCGGGGTGGCCCTGGCTGGCAGGATGCCTTGTGCAGCACCCAGCCATAAGCAACCCAGGAGCTTGCTTGTTGGAGGGGGAAATGAGTCACTGCAAAAGGAGAAATGCGGGGTAAGCAAAGAAAGAAAAGCAATAGGCCCTCCCCAGGGGTGAGGAGGTGGAGGGGCTACCGGCGGCTGCCTGGCTCCTTGCAGACAGCTGGGGGGACTGACCTGATCCTGGCCATAGGGACCCTGGGTGCCTCTGGGTCCTGTACATGGAGGCCACGCATTGTGCGGGGCTGTGGGGAGCGGTGGCAGCTATTGTTCAGGAGGGATTTGGCATCCTGTGTTTCTTGAAGCTGCAGTTTTGAGAACAATGAGGTTTCCTGCAGGGGCTGGGGGGGGCAGTGGGCCCTTCCTCTCCTGCACCCTGCAGGAAAAGTTACTGTGTGTGGGGGTGACCCATGAGGTCCTGGCACCCCTTGGTGCCATGGTTGGCACAGAGGCCAAGTGGGAAGGAGGTGGAGAAGGGTGGGTGTTAGGGCTTTGGCTGCTTTCTGCCTAGGAGAAGAGTGGGGGGCTGGCCCTGCTGCTGTTAGGTCTGGAGATGGTGGCTGTGGTGTCCCATCCCACTTGCGCCACTGTTAGATGGGCACTGCACGGTTGCTCAGCACCCCACACTGGTGATGCCAAAAGCTCATCCATGGTTTTTCCTTGATACATGAACACAGTACTTTCTTGTCTCCCTCCTTTTCTGGCCTGTTCCCTCCCAAGCTCAGCTGGCACCTCTGCTCCTCTTCCCTGCAGCCCTGAGCAGGGGGACCATGCAGGAAGGGTGCAGCTCTCCCCTCCAATAAACACAGACAAATTGATTTTAAAAAATAAAAACTTTTTTTAGTTGTAATTGAGTCTTGTAGTGGGGCTGGAAGGGAGATTGGGAACTTGTGAAGCCCTGGTAGTCCCTACAAGGTGACTTGCAGGACTGTGTGCCCTTGCCCTGTTCTTGAAGCTATCACCTGGTCCACCTGCACCAGAAAAATTATGGTGCTGTATGTGGGGAGAAGCCAGGGTGAAGATGCTGCACCAGGAAGAAGCCTTTCGGTGCCGGCGAGCAATAAACAATTGTCCTGTGGTCTATTTATAGTGACTGAGCTGGAGGATTAGTTGCAGGGTTATTTTTGGAGCAGCTGAAGGCAGTTGTTGGACGGTGCTTCTGAGCTAATCAAGCAAATATTTTCTGTCTGGCCTGTGTGCAGGCTGCATGTCTCCTGTCCCATTCTGGCAGGGCTGGAGACTTGGGGGGGTTCTGGGGCAGCATGTGTCTTGGGGTGGATGAGAAAGCACTTGTGATGGGGTTGTCTTAGGCATCCATGGATGGTCTCCTGTTGCCCTGGTTCAGCTTGTACCCCCAGCCTGAGCTCTGCCTGAGCACCTGAGGGAAATGGGGACCAGCAGTGAGGTGCTGGCTGGACTCCACATTGGTTTGAGTTGACATCCTCCTCCTTCTCCATACACAACACTGACCATGTCCTACTCCAGCAGTGATGGGGCCATAATGACCATGGGCAATCCTTGGCCCTGCAGCTGATGGGCTAAGGTCCCTGTCCCTAGCTGTCTCCTCCACATCAACAGTTTCCTCATCCCCTAACCCTTTGCTCAATGCCTTCCCAACCCCTTGAAGGGCTGACCTCTGGCCCTCCCCAAAAGCCAGGCTGCAGGGCAGGCTCTGCATTTGTAGCAACTTGCCTTCCCACCTCCTTAGTTTTATTTTTTATTATTTTTTTTTCTTATTCTTATTTCTTTTTCCTTTCTCCTTTTCAAGCCCCAAAGGTCACTTGTAACCTGGTCCCCAGGAACATGTCTCTCTCCCCTCACGCTCAGCCTTTTTGCAGATCTGGGCTCTCCCCACCAGCCTCAGCTCCAGGTCTGAGCAAACAGGCTGTGGCTGGGTTAACCAGTGCAGCTGTATGGGTTAACCAGTGCAGCTGTATGCTAATGCCTGCCGCTGCCCGCTTAACTCTCCTGTGCTGAGTAAAGTCAGCCCCGCTATTGTACCCACCTCCTCAAACAAACCACAAAACCCCAGCGCTCGGGCCAGCCGCTGCGGGGTGACACCCAGTTTCCAGCTCACTTGTAATTCTTCATCCCCAGGGCTCAGGCTGCATCATGCCCCCTCCTCCGCCTCCTGCCTTCCCCCTTAGCTCGCCCCCTCCCTCCCCATCACCCCCCAACCCTTTTGTCTTTCTTCCTTTGCCCTTTTGTGCATGTCTGGTTTTTAATAGCGCTTGGCAGCTGGTTGTGGTTTCTCCCCTCCAGCTTTGTTTGCTGCCCGCTGATTGATGGCGATGCCTTTCCCACCCCCTGCTCTCTCCTCCTGCTTCTTGCCCTTCCCCAAATCCCAGCCCAACAGCAGCCCCTCACAATCCTCTTTCCTGGGCAGCAGATGCCAGGAATTAGCTGTGTAAATAAAGGAGTGCAGCTGGATGGGCAGTGTGGGTGTCCGGGGTAGGAGGTAGGATGCTGCCTGGTGCCATGGGGACTGTGCTGGGGTGGGCAGTGAGGGACCATCCCCTCCTTGGGGGTAGCAAGGAGCACCTACCAGCATGGCTCAACCTCCCTGAGCGGGATGGGGAGTGGAGAGGAGCCGTGGGGGTGTTGTGCAAGTGGCCAGGGACAGCCACGTGCTGTTGACACAGGTGGGGATGTGGTTGGCAGCCAGTGCCGCGGGCAAACACACCTGCTTGGGCAGGGAGGGCTGGCAGCTGTTCCTGCGTCGCTGGCCACACGTGCCAGCCATGCTGGATAAAGGCTGAAGTCCTGGCACTGCAGCTGCTCGCTGTCACCTGCTCCTCTCCACTCACCCCATGACCAAAATCCTCCTGCCTGCTGCTGCCCCATGGAAAAGGCAAGAGGATGGGGATGCTCAGTGTGGGTGCTGGGGTTTGCCCCGCAGTGAGGTGGGGTGCACCCTTCTTGTTCTGAGCCAGAGTTTGTCACGGGGATTCTCAGCCCTTCAGTGCTGCTTTGGGTTTTAGCAAAGGGGAAGAAGTCAACACCAAGGCCAGGGGAATCAAGCTCCAGTACTGCCTAGGGATGCTGGGTGGCATCCAAGCTGCACAGCCTTGATCGTCAAAGGTGCTTTATCTTCTATTTCAGACCTTCATCTTCACGGACGGGGAGGATGAGGAGCTGGAGAAGCAAGCACGTGAGTCTGTGGCCCTTGTCCCTTTGTGTGCATGACCTTGCCAGGCCCCCTGAGAAGCCCCTGCCTGGGGACCATGGCTGACATGGAGCCTGCCCTGCAAACTCTGAAAAAATGGTCAAAATGCCACCAGTTAGACACTAATCTCAGGGGCCCTTGTCCTAGGGACCAGGGCTGAGAACGAGTCCACTCATTTCAAGCAGCCACTGCTCAGGAGTCCCCCCTCGGGGCAGGTTCCCTTCCCAGTCAGCCCATCCCATCTCCTGCATGAAGCTGCTGGGGAGCAGGCTACCAGGATAGTTTGCCTTTGCACTGGTTTGTCCCTGGGGTGAGCTGGGATTGATGGGCAATACAGCCAGGGTTTCATGGGAGCATTTCTCTGGCAGCCGATCCCTGGGGCCAGGGTCAGCTCAGTCTATTCTCCCTATGCAAATGACTCCTTTTCAGGCCGGGAAGTGATTGCCTTTGAGCTGGGCAAGCAAATAACAGGTGGCCTCTGAGGGAAAAGGCAGCGGGAATAAGGCAGGATTTTGGCTATAGTGTCCTGGGTGGAAAAGCTGGCTCATGGACACCCCTTCACTGCCAGGGTGGCTGGTACATGGCCTCGGGATGGGCAGGGTGATGTAGGATGGCATCATACATAACATGTGAAATATGGCTTGACCCTGGAGCATCTGCTGTATCTGCATCCCTTGCTCATCCCTTTCCTTCTCTCTCATTGACTCAAAAGCCATTCCCCAAAAATTCATATTTTGCCCAAAATGACGTGACATGGAGGCCACCAAGCATCAGGGAGATCGTGGGGTTTTCATCTGCTTGGTGACACTGGAACATGCTTGGGGAAGCATCCCTGTTTGAGAAAGCAGGAAGGTGTGGGATATCTCAGCACTGGGCTTTGACCCTTGCCTCTTCCCTCAGGAAATGTCATCAACACCAACTGCTCGGCTGCCCACAGCCGCCAGGCCCTGTCCTGCAAGATGGCTGTGGAGTATGACAAGTTCATCGAGTCTGGCAGAAAGTAAGTGGTGTCTGGGGCTGCTGGGGGGGGCTGTGGGTTTGCTGGGGTGCAGGACAGTGTAGGCAGGGGCCGCTGGCATTTTTGGGGCTGTATCTCAGCATGGAGACTTGCCCACCGTGACACTGCTGCCACTGCAGGTGGTTCTGCCATGTGGACGATGACAATTATGTGAACGTGCGGATGTTAGTGAAACTGCTCTCCAGCTACCCCCACACACAGGACATCTACATCGGGAAGCCCAGCCTGGACCGGCCCATCCAGGCTACAGAGAGGATCAGCGAGAACAAGATGGTGAGAGGGGGTGAGAGGTTGGGGCCGGGTCTTGCTTCCCCATCAGTGGGAGGAGGTCTCACTGCCGTTGCTTCCCCTCTCTCGCAGCACCCCGTGCATTTCTGGTTTGCCACGGGAGGAGCAGGGTTTTGTATCAGCCGGGGGCTGGCACTGAAGATGAGCCCGTGGGCCAGGTAAGACCATTGGCATTGCTCTCCTGCGGGGACTTGTCATGGTCCCAGTAGGGCACAGAGCCATGACAACATCTTTGGGGATGGATGCTGGACCATGTCCTGCCACTTTGCTCTCTTTGCCTTGCTTGGGATTTCTGCAGAGGGTTTGGCAACAGGCTGGGAAGTTCCCCTAAGTCTAATTGACTGTTAATTAGAGCTAAAGCTGGGCACCTACTGGCCAAGCGCGGACCCCATGGGGTGCCCATGTCCCCCCAGGCTTTGCTCCTCTTCACCTCCTCTCTGTCTCCCCGCAGCGGGGGCCACTTCATGAGCACAGCAGAGAAGATCCGCTTGCCTGATGACTGCACCATTGGCTACATCATCGAGTCTGTGCTGGGAGTGAAGCTCATCCGGAGCAATCTTTTCCACTCGCACCTGGAGAACCTCCACCAAGTGCCCAAGACAGAGATCCACAAGCAGGTACGCCTGTCCTGATGCTCTGGGGTGGATGGAGGGGATGGGATCGATGGTACTGTCTGGTTTCATGTTGTCACGTAAAAGTTGGGCTTTGCAGCTAAGATACTGATTGTTGTGCTTCCAAAATGTCAGTGAAGGGGGAAAGCCCCATCAGCCCATCCCTGTGGGGTGATGCAGAGCGTGACCAGAGGCTGTGAGAAAAGGAGTGAATTTTGCAGTGCCCCTTTCCCCTTCCTCGTCCCTTCATGACTCTGCTTGATCCTCATGGCCGTGTCAGCTGCTCAAACCCTCTGTGTTTCCTGCCCACCAGGTGACACTAAGCTATGGCATGTTTGAAAACAAGCGTAACTCCATCCACATGAAGGGAGCTTTCTCTGTCGAGGAGGACCCATCCAGGTGAGATATGGGGACCCTGTCCCCCCTGAGCCGGGGTGCCGTGGGGCCACCAGCCCCCCCATGCTCAGCATCAATCCTCTCCTCTGCAGGTTTCGCTCCGTGCACTGCCTGCTCTACCCCGACACGCCGTGGTGCCCCGCTAATGTGGTTTATTAGGAGACACGTGTCCCCTCCAACCTCGTCCCAAATTTCCCCGGTATCCGACGGGCATGTGGGACCTGCGTGCGGGTGTGTCAGTCCGGCCTCACCCCCGGGCGGACAGACGGACGGACGTTGTTGCTGTGGTATTGCACAGTGTGTGTGTGTACTGAAGGCTGCTGTGCGGCCCCTTCTCCCCTGCCCTGCCTGCCCCGCTGCCCATCCCGGCCGGGATGGCAGGGAGGGACGGGTCCTGAGCACTTAACCATTGGGCACCCCCGTGGCCCTGGTTGACCCCACGCCATGCGTGGGGAGTGACCGTGGGTGCTGCGGGGTCTGGGGGGCTCTGCCTGCCCCTGGCTTGCTTCTCTCTCTTTTTTTTTTTCTTTTTTTTTTTCCCTTTTAAATGTTAAGTTTTTTGGTGTGTGCTTCCCTCACCCCACTCCCACAACCCCTCACCCGTCTCATCCTCCTTCCCTGTCTCAACATCTCAGCAGCAAAGCTCCAGCTCCCAACTCAGATGAGGGGCCAACAGGCCACTTTTGTTTCCCAGCTTGGCAGGCAGGGTGCAGGCAGGGGAAGCTGCTGGCTGTGGCAAACGCTGCTCCAGGGTGCTGCAAAGCTGCTGGGTGCTCGATGGTCTCACTGGAGGGAGCAGGGGGGGTGGGCTGGGAGCTGGCCTTGGCGTTAGCTCCGTTTCCCGGAGCTGCCCCCGCCTGGCCGAGTTGTTGCCGGCAGCATTGATCTGTGCACTATTTATAGAGCCTAATGCAGAGACTTTCTATAAATAGAGGGGGTGGGAGGAGGGCTTTTCTGGAGCCACCAGCATGCGTGGGCACTGTGTTTGTACAGTCTCCCTCCAGTGCCAGCTCCCTGCCTGCCTGTGGGCCGGGTGCAGGCAGGCTGAGCACCAGCAGCCCTGCACCTTCCCATCGGAGCATTTCAGGGTCTGGCCAGGGACATGATGTGTTCCTCACCCATCCCTGCCATGGGGCTGGACCATCCTCCAGACCTGGCTGTGGATGCTGCTGGGGGGCTGGAGCACCCACCAAGTGCCCAGCTGGACACCATGGGCAGGCAGCGTTTCCCAGCCAGGCTGCTACTCTTTGCCTGCTAGGACCTGAGGAGGGATTTATCCAGGAAGGGAGAGGGTCTCTATAACCCCCCAAGCTGCCCTGCCTGCCACCACAAGCCCTACACCCTCGGGGTAAGTGGGCTGAGCTGGAGCTGGACATTTCCAACCTGAAGCTGAGTGAAAATAGCCCATAGTGGGTGTGTTGTAAATATGTTATTGCGCCAGTATTTTTTTTACTGTGCCTTTTTTAAAAAAAACAAAAACAAAAACAAAACCACACATTGAGGAATATGTAGATTTTTAAATGCTTTTTATACGTTTTCTGTGGATCAGAAAAATAAACCCCAACCCAACCTTCTTATAATCTGTTTAAGAAAGAATGAAAAAATAATAATTGCAATGTCCTGTAACTATCACTTACCTTAATTTATATGTTCCAGTATCTGGAACACCACTCTGTGCTTTTTGTAACTAGGATGTGTTAAAAGCAATAGATGTGGGATGGGGAACCAGCATGGACAGTGTGTTCTCAGGGACTTGAACCCAATGGCTGCCACGGGGTCCCCGTGGGAGCCTTCACCAATAAAGCAGCTTTTTTGCTGACCACAGTCACCTGGTCCTGGGCTCTGGTGTCTTTTTATGGCCGGGCTGCTCTGATCACCCCTCGTTCCCCCCGCGGGTGTTATCACCTCGAGAGAAGCTCTTGGGGATGCGCCGAGGCTGGATTGTGCCTGCATCCCTTTTTTCCCACGGGTACCGGGATCTGCCGACCATTTGCATCCCAGGGCGTGAGGGTCTTCTCCTCTTTCCTCTCCCCAAAAGGCTCGGGCAGGGCTTGGTGCCTCGGGGCTGGTTTTTCCCAGGCTCTGGGGCGGGGGCGGAGGTGGCAGGGAGAGGTGCGAGCGGGTTGTTAGCACAGTGGTGGTAACAGCCGGCGGGCAGGCGTGTGCGTGGGAAGGGTGGGGGCTGCAGGGGGTTGAGCCCCTTCCCTCCCAGCCCTCCCTTCGTCTGAGATGGCACCAAGAACTCACCTGCCAGTGACAAGCTC